GTACCCGTTTGCGACCCTGGTGCGGCCGGGTACGGGTACGGGTAAGGAATCAAAACCCGTTTGCGACCTCTGCCGTCGGGGGGGCAGGTGCCGTTTCTAGAGCGGCGGCCATTGTTAGACGAGGCGGGCGCCATGTCGGCCTCCGCGCAGCGCTGCTGGAGGAGTTTTTATTAAAAAATTTCCCAATTGTGCATCAACATCATCATCATCGCCGCCGCCGTTGTCGTCATTGTCGTCGTCGTCGTCATGATCATCATCTTTAGATTTAAAGCTTTCGTGACTGCAGGGATTCATCTTCTTGGTTCTTTCGGTAAAGTCACGTAGAAGGGAAATAATAAAATAATTAAAATAAAACAATAAACTAATCAGACGCTGTCTTTCCGACAGACCTGTTCTTCACCTGAGGACGGCTGCTTACGTTGTGGGCGAAAAGTGGTGAGAATTATTTTATTATGTTTTATTTTTATTACTTTATTATTTCCCTTCTACGTGACTTTACCGAAAGAACCAAGAAGACGATCATCATCGAGCATCTGCATCTTTCGCTGTCATGGTTGGTGTCGAGCGGTGGTTCTTAACCTGGGGAGGGACAAAACCCCCCTTGGGTGCCCTTTCTGGGGGCAGTGAGACACCCCATGAGCGTACCAGAGATGCCCTTTTGGGGGGGTAGCGAGACACTGCCAGAACGCTTTTTGAGAAGGTAACTCGAAAACACGAAAATGAAGCATGGCCATGTCACAACTTACTTTGTCTTACCGAACCCTGTGTGTTTATTAACATTGTAACATTGTTTAACGATTCAGATCCAAAGGGGTTCAAGGCTGCAGGAAAGGTTGAGAACTACTGGTGTCATGGATGTGGCGGTTTCAGGCTCGCTGCCCATAAAACTCGGCCATCTCACGGGTTTGTGACTATGTGTGTGTGTACGTTGGGGGAGCGGTGGTGGTAGCGGTTAGCGCCACGCTACGAAATCCGGCGGACCCGAGTTCGATTCCCGCTCACGTCCAACATCGGTGACTATTATCCGAGCCGGTCCTGGGTCTCCCCTAGGTCGACTCAGCCTTAAATGAGTACCTGGGGCTGTGCGTGAAAAACAGCGCCACTGGGGAGACAAAAGCGGCCGGGCGTGGTGCTGGCCCACCCAACCCCTCGTGTGCCGTGCCGGCCTTCATAGTTGCTGCTACTCACTACTAACAGCACTTGCCCCAAGTCCGTTAAGGCTATACGGAGGATAGGCAAAGGCCTTTGTCACTCTGTGTGCCACTGTATGGGGGAGCGGTATTGTAGTGGTTCGCCCGCTGCATTACGAACCCGGCATCCCGAGTTCGATTCCCACTCACGGGCAACACCGGTGACGATTATCTGAACCGATTCCTGGACCTCCCCTAGATCGACTCAGATCCAAATGAGTACCTGGTGCTGTCTGGGGAGACAAAGGCGGCCGGGCGAGGTGCTGGCCCACCTACCCTCTCGTGTGCCGTGCCAGTCTTCATAGGTTCTGCCTCGCTAACAGCACTTGCCCCAACAGTCTGTGAAGGCTATATGGGGGGATCTTTGTGCGGGTTGAAATTCTTTGGCACCGCAGTACATAGCCAACCGTGCTCATCGAAGGTGCGGTGCGGTGGGTTGGGGGGGGGAGAACGAAGATGAAGCGACAGAGGAGAGCGCCATGTTGGAAAGCGGTCGGGGAGGAATGTCCCGAGCCGGGGCGGGCACGGCTGCCTTGCTACAGTGTGGCCGTGAAAATGATTTTTAGACTAAAAACTATTTAAGAGGTGACATTTCGAGCAGCGACCCTTATTCAGAGCGCATCGTGAACGGGGGCCGTTGCCCACCGGAAGTCGTTTCTTTCAGAACTGCTGCACGTTGTTGTTGTTGTGTTTAGCGCGGTTGGGCTACGTACGGTGTGAAAGAAGTTCAACAAGCATACATATTATACAGAGACTCCTCTCTACTTACGAGCATTCGACTTACGAACTTTCAGAGATAGGACCAAACCCGGTCCGTACATCCAGTCGCCTGTCCGGACCGAGAGTCGTAAGTTCAACCCGCTGTGCATCGACATCTGCAGAACGTGAAGTGCACACGCCGTAACAACGTGTTGGGAATTGACAGGATTAAAGTTGGGACTTGCGAACAAATCGACTTATGAACAAATCGACTCATGAGCAGACCTCTAGAACTTAACTCGTTCATAAGTAGAGGAGCCCCTGTACAGAATTCCTTTACGAACAATGCGTCAAGTTGCGTTGTTGTTGGTGCTATTGGTGCACCACTGCCAACGCAGCAGCAGCATCAGCAGCAGCATCACCCGCCGACGTCAAATTTACCGAAACGAGGATCAAGTCGGTGACAGCGTCTCCCCCTCACCACCCGTCTCAAGTGAGCTTCAGAAGCGGTAGCAGACATATGCATACGCGCGCGCGCACGTCTACACACTACGGTTAACTGCTCATTGGCACGACGCAGACTCTCGATTGTGCCCAGGGGTTTACGGGGAGCGCGAACGGCAACGCGGAATAAAGGGCAAAACGGACCGCGCGGAATACTAAAACGCGTGTCGAGTTACGGCGCGCGAACGCGGGCGGGAGGCGGGCAATGAAGATGAGCAATCAACCTCCTGTTTGGGCGAGATGACCGCGAAGGGTTTAACGTTGATTTTACGACTTCACGATTTAGCCTCCGGCACCCGGCGACGAGAGCCAACCCAGGTGGTACAACTCTGTTGGCTGTCGTCGGCAAAACCGGCAGAGGAGTAGCTAGGCCTCGGCAAGGTAAGGTAAAAGTGTAAAAACAACGAGCCTGCCTTTACCCTACCTTTTACCTTTCCACAATACAATCACTCTACCCTACCTTTTACCCTTTAGCAGGTAAGGTAAAAGGTAAAAAGCAACGAGCCTACCCTTACCCTACCTTTTACCCTTACCCCTAGGCATGTCGACACCTTTACCCTTTTACCCGGTAAAAAGGGTAAATTACCTTACCTTGCCGAGGCCTAGGAGCAAGTGATGGATGAGGAGGCAGGGGAATGTTGAAAATCCCCAAGGAAAATTTGCCCGAGTTTTAAAAGATCGTCCGTTTCGCCCGGGCCTAAGAAGCCGCTGTTTGGTTGATGAACGTCCCCCCCACCCCCTCTCCGTTCTACATTGTTATCTCTCGACCCGACCCTCGACGAGTTAAGGGAGCGGCCTGTAGTTAAAATCGGTGCCGAGCGAGCGCGTGTACAAACAAAAAAATACACGCCAACAATTCGTCCCGCAATGGCGCGATCGGGCAATGACCCACGATCGCGGAAAATCAATCGGCCGAAAGATAAAATCGAGAGTCGGGCACCGTAATATTTATCGCACGCGGAGAGCATCACCGAGTCGTCTGGGACCCCCCCAGCCCGCCTATAAAAAAAATTAACTGGGTCAAGCAAGTCCCCGCGCGTTCCCCCTGTGACTATTCTGTAAGTTTCTTCTGAACTCAACTTTTATTTCGCCCCCGCCGCCACTTCGCGAAGAATTTAGAAAGAAATCCGCGCGCATCAAGAGGTGGAGCATGCAAACTCCACCGCCGTTGCTGGTTCACAGCCTCGTCGGAGAAAACCAACTTTGCTGAGCCTCCCTCCCTCCTTACCTCCTCCCTCCCTACCCCCTACCTCCCTCCCTCCTTCCTTACCTCCCCCCCTACCCACTTACCTCCCTTCCGACCTCCCTACCTACCTAGCTCCCTGCCTCCCTACCTCCCTCCCTCCTTACCTCCCTCCCTCCCCCCTCCCACCTTCCTTACCTCCCCCCCTACCCCCTTACCTCCCTTCCTACCTCCCTCCCTACCTCCCTCCTTCCCTACCTCCCTTCCTACCCCCTTACCTCCCTCCCTACCTCCCTCCCTACCTCCCTCCCTACCTCCCTCCCTCCTTCCCTACCTCCCTCCCTACCTCCTTCCCTACCTCCCTCCCTACCCCCTTACCTCCCTCCCTACCTCCCTCCCTACCCCCTTAACTCCCTCCCTACCTCCCTCCCCACCTCCTTCCCTACCTCCCTCCCTACCCCCTTAACTCCCTCCCTACCTCCCTCCCTACCTCCTTACCTACCTACCTCCCTCCCCCCTCCCTTACCTCCCTACCTCCCTCCCCCCTCCCTTACCTCCCTCCCTACCCCCTTACCTCCCTCCCTACCTCCCTCCCTACCTCCCTCCCTACCTCTCTCCCTCCTTCCCTACCTCCCTCCCTACCCCCTTACCTCCCTCCTTCCCTACCTCCCTCCCTACCTCCTTCCCTACCTCCCTCCCTACCCCCTTACCTCCCTCCCTACCTCCCTCCCTACCTCCCTCCCTACCTCCCTCCCTACCCCCTTACCTCCCTCCCTACCTCCCTCCCCACCTCCTTCCCTACCTCCCTCTCTACCCCCTTAACTCCCTCCCTACCTCCCTCCCTACCTCCCTCCCTACCTCCTTACCTACCTACCTCCCTCCCCCCTCCCTTACCTCCCTACCTCCCTCCCCCCTCCCTTACCTCCCTCCCTACCCCCTTACCTCCCTCCCTACCCCCTTACCTCCCTCCCTCCCTCCCTACCCCCTTACCTCCCTCCCTACCTCCCTCCAGGCGTCATCTCGTTGATCCAACAAGCGTCCCAAGATACCGAAATGGTCGGGGTGATGCAGGGAGAGGGGAGGGATGGAGGCACCGGTCCGTACTTTTATCCACCCACCGGGGTTGTTCATGCCGTCGCACACAGCCGCTGAACATCAACCGTGACGTTTTAACGCGCGCCTCGCGTTCGCCCCCGTCCTCATCCAGTGCACTTGAAAAGCGCTTGTCCGTCGCTCTCCGTCGCTCAGCCGTTCCCCGATCACAATAACCACAGGCAAGTGTCAACCCCTCTGGGGATGGGGAGGGAGATGGGGGAGATGGGGGGGGGGATGGGGGAGATCTGGGGGGGGGGGGGGGATGGGGGAGATGGGGGGGGGGGATGGGGGAGATGGGGGGGGGGGCTAGGTTTTTTTTATGGCGGGGTGAGCAAGGTGGTGGTGACGTTTTTCGGCTCTGTTTTTGCTGGAGATTTTTTTTCCTCTTCTTCAAGGTGTGTGCTTGCCGGCCGCCCTGGTTAATACCGCCGGGGGGGGGAGGGGGGGGGGGATGGTGGCAGAGGGGGGGGGGCTAGTTGTGTTTTTATTGCAGGGTGACACGGTCGAGCAAGGTGGTGGTGGCGGCGGTGTTTTTCGGCTCCGATTTCGTCGGAGGGGTTTTTATTTCTTCTTCTTTTCTCCTTCTTCTTCAAGGTTCTAGCTCACCGGCCGCCCTGGTTAATACCACCGGGGGAGTGCGCGGAGGAGGGGTAGTTGACGTTCAGGGGGGGAACCCTCGCCACGTTGACTCCTCGTAAACCGTGCCAGTCGCCCGTCGCGCGCGGGCGGTCGCGACCCGCCCCATTTCTCGCGCGAGCGACTCCGTTGCCCGAAAACCGCGGCGGCGACGTCGTGCGCCCCGAGGTTTGCCGGTCGCCGTTCCAGGGCGGACGACCACGGACCCCTGGATCAAAAAAGTGGGCCTTGACGCCGCTGACGAACGGCGGCAGCGTGGGGGGTGGGTGGGGGAGGTTCGTGAGAACCCCGCCCGCGAGAGCTCACCACGAAGGGGTCCTTTCGTGTGACCAACAGACGACGGTCGCCCTCCACTGACGACGGCCGGTGCCCACTTAAGGAGAACCGCCGGTGCTTACGCCTCGTGCCGTACAAGGGACAGCTCCAACTGAGGTGGTGGGTGGTGGGTGGCAGGCGGGCGGGCGGTGGCCTCCACGGTTGGACCGGCTCACCGGGGGACGCCTCGACCGCGCGGGGAAGGCACGGGGGTGCAGAGTATCAAGCGGCGACGACGCTTCGTGTCTCGGCTTGTCCCTCCCGGCCGCACAGTCGCCACGTCCCTCCGGCCCGGTCGTTCAGGGGAATCGACGCTGACGAGAGGGATCACCTGCGAGAGCGTCCGTCGCGATCGCCCAGCCCTCCCCCCCCCATCTCCATCCCCCCCACCCCCCAAAATTCAATTCTTTATTATCGTCGGGGTCGTGAAGCTCTTGAACTGGAGGCCCGCGTGGGTGACCTGGTGCTTGTGCAGGTTCTCCGACTGGGTGAACGCCTTCATGCACACGCCGCACTTGTACGGCTTCTCGCCCGTGTGGGTCCTGTGGTGGCTGTGCAGGGCGCCCGACTGCGTGAACGCCTTGCCGCACACGGTGCACTTGTAGGGCTTCTCGCCCGTGTGCGTCCTCTGGTGGCTGTGGAGGGCCCCCGACTGCGTGAACGCCTTGCCGCACACCGAACACTTGTAGGGCTTCTCGCCCGTGTGCGTCCTCTCGTGGTTGTGCAGGGCGCCCGACTGCGTGAACGCCTTCTCGCACATCGTGCACTTGTAGGGCTTCTCCCCCGTGTGCGTCCTCTGGTGGCACTGGAGCGCCCCCGACTGGGTGAACGCCTTGCCGCACGCGGTGCACATGTAGGGCTTCTCTCCCGTGTGGATCCTCTGGTGGATGTTGAGGCGGCTCTGCTTGTCCGTGCTGTACACGCACTGGTCGCACAGGTGCACGACGGCCGGGTTGCCCCACCTGCCGTGCTGTCTCATGTGGTCCTGCAGCGCCGCCACGCCGTCCGCCTCCTGGCCGCAGACGATGCAGCACGTCCGCTTCTCGTCCCCGCCGTCCATTTTCCCTGCCGTCGGCGCGTAAAAAATAAAAACGCGAGCGTCACCGATGGCAGAGCGACGTCGTCACGAGGTCGAGAGACAACGTAGAGGCGAAAGCAACCGGAGGACCCGGAGAGAAATCCACGCGACCACCACGGGGAGAGAAACGCAGACTCCAACAGCAGCAAGCATCATCAGGGTTGGGATCGAAACCACGACCTCCTGCACACTAGGCGAGGTAGTCAACATCTCCTAGTCACAGTGATGAGATGCAGATTCCAAATATACAGCAGCAGGCGTCAGGGTCAGGATCGAACCCACGACCTCCTGCACACCGGGCGAGGTAGTTAACATCTAGCCACCGTGATGATGATGAGAGACGCAGACTCCAAATACAGTAGCAGGCATCGTCGGGGGTCGGGATTGAACCCACGACCTCCTGCACACCGGGCGAGGTAGTTAACATCTCCTAGCCACCGTGATGATGATGATGATGAGAGACGCAGACTCCAAATATACAGCAGCAGGCATCGTCAGGGTCAGGATCGAACCCACGACGTCCTGCACACCGGGCGAGGTAGTCAACATCTCCTAGCCACCGTGATGATGATGATGAGAGACGCAGACTCCAAATATACAGCAGCAGGCATCGTCAGGGTCAGGATCGAACCCACGACGTCCTGCACACCGGGCGAGGTAGTCAACATCTCCTAGCCACCGTGATGATAATGAGAGACGCAGACTCCCAAATACAGTAGCAGGCATCGTCAGGGGTCGGGATCGAACCCACGGCCTCCTGCACACCGGGCGAGGTAGATAACATCTCCTAGCCACCGTGATGATGATGATGAGAGACGCAGATTCCAAATATACAGCAGCAGCAGGCATCAGGATGAGTGATCGAACCCACGACCTCCTGTAGACCAGACTAGGTAGTCAACATCTCCTAGCCACCGTGATGATGATGAGACGCAGACTCCAAATACAGTAGCAGGCATCATCAGGGGTCGGGATCGAACCCACGACCTCCTGCACACCGGGCGAGGTAGATAACATCTCCTAGCCACCGTGATGATGATGAGAGACGCAGATTCCAAATATACAGCAGCAGCAGACATCGTCAGGGGTCGGGATCGAACCCACGACCTCCTGCACACCGGGCGAGGTAGTCAACATCTCCTAGTCGTGGGTAACCCCCTGAACCCCCCCCCCATCACCTCCCCACCGCAGCCAACACACCACCGATGACAACGAACGCGGCCTAATTAACGAGAGCTTAACGCGAGCTAATTAACGAGGATTTAAGCTGCCAGGCCTCAATCAGGCCTGGCCATTTGCCTGGAAACCAGTGGGGGGGTTGGGGTGGGGTGAGGGGGGGTTGGAGATTAGCGGAGTCCGCCACGGGCAGCTGAGCGAGTGGCCTTGTCTCTCTCCTCCACCACCACCACCACCTCCACCACCACCTCCACCTCATCATCGTATTGTTGCTCACCGACGATTGCGGACATCGACGACGAGGAGGAGGAGGAGGTTAAAGAAGGCGGTGGCGGCCGCGGCTGTCAAACGGAGTGAGGTGTGACGTCACGGCGCCCGGGTGACGTCACCACACGTTGTGGTGACGTCATGTCGTTTTGTTACGCGATGACGTCATCCCCCGACGGAGAGGGTGGGTTCAAGTTCAAGTTCATGTATTAGGTATAGCCCTGTGAGCCATTCAGCTCTTGAATCGGGTGCAACCGCAACAAACAAAAAACAAAAAACATGAACAAAAAACATCTTAAAGTGAATATGTGACTAAGTGCAAACAGAAAATCCAAGAAAAGACAGCAAAAATATTGCAGAAAAAACACCGCTACACACCAACGCTGTGTGCAAAAATCCCAGTGGGATGCAAGTCAAACAACAACAACAACCACAAGACAACTTAGATTAAGGCCATCAGTCTAACTCTGTACTACAACAACACAAACATGGCCAAACCAATACACTTTTCGAAATCACCAAAATAAAGCCATGAAAGCAATGAAAAAGCAATCATAGGAACTGTGACGAAATTTTCACAATAAATGGCATTAACAGCTCTTTGTAGAGCTTCGGTACGTGGAAGCCCTCCTGTGCAGAACAATGGGGGAGGGGGGAGTGCACACGAAGGGAGGAAAAAATGAACCCGTAAAAACAAAGTTTTTCACTATAAATCCTTTATATGCGTGGCAGCGAACTTAATATAAAGGATTTAAAAATATATTCGCCTGTGGAGGACGCGGGGATCGATCCCGCGACCTTTGGCACGGGAAGCGAGGGCGCTACCGACTGCGCTACTCCGCCACGGCCTGTGGAGGGGTTACGCTCTGGGCTCCTACACTGTGACGTTCAGCCAAAGCCATGAATGAGTTCTATTTGAATATATGTAAAAAAAAAAATTTTTGCCTAAAAAGTGTAAAATTTTGGGAATTTTTTTTCACGAACATTAATTGTCTGGCACAACGAGTCTGTGTGGAAAATGTCAGCTCGATTGGATCATGGGAAGTGGGTTAAAAAACGACCGAAAGATTTGCACGGTCGTAAGCAAGCAAGCACGCAAGCAAGCAAGCATGCGAACTTAATATAAAGGATTTAAAAATGAACCCTTAAAAACAAAGTTTTTCACTATAAATCCTTTATATGCGTGTTCAATGGGCCACAACCCAGCCCACATTGGTCACGGGCGGCTAGAGTCCTCTCGTCCTCTGGCTTGAGATGGCTGCCACCTATGGGTCAGATGATTGTCTGCCAGTATTGAGCAATTGGTAATTAAATATTTAATTTGTTTTCCCTAAACAGTGTAACATTTTGTAAAAAAAAATTTTCACGAACATTAATTGTCACGCACAACGAGTCTGTGTGGAAAATGTCAGCTCGATTGGATCAGGGGAAGTGGGTTAAAAAACGACCGAAATATTTGCACGGTCGTAAGCAAGCAAGCGAACTTAATATAAAGGATTTTTAAAAATCTCAACACTCCGCTCGTGTTAAACTCAGCGAGGAGTTTTTCTTTTGTTGTTTTGGGGTTAGGATCTGTCCATAAATGACGTCACGAGATTTTGGAGGATTTTTGACCCCCCCCCTCCCCTCGTCACACGGCGTCACAAAAAGTCAGACCCCCCTCCTCCTCAAATATGACGTCACAAAGCTCTGCCCCCCCCCCAAAAAAACCATATTTCCATTTTGAAAATAAAACATGCTTCAAATCGTTTTAAACTATTGTCATTGTAGTGTGCGTATTTAATGTGGCGCTGCACTCTGATGTTGTAGGAGTGTTGTTATAACAATTAGTGTTGTTATAACAATTCTATATTTAAAGTTGCACATTTTGATGTGACGTCACATTTCTCACACCCCCCCTCCCCTCATCACACATCGTCACAAATGTCTGACCCCCCCCCCCACCCCCAGGTGCGTGACGTCATTTATGGACGGCCCCTTACGTCACGTGAAGTGTGAATGTGTCTCCATCATTAAACCTCCTTTGCCAGTACCAAAATATAATAATAGGGTTTTTCCACGTTTTTCTGGCAACAAAACCGAAACCTTTGTACGAGGAACCGTGTGTGCGTTAACCACAATACTTGTGGTCAAAATGCAAACAAAAAACACACACTCTGCTAATATTTGCATCATCCTTGAAACCAGAGACAGCTTTCTTTTGAGCTTCGTCTCAATTGGTGCTAGACCAGAGGACTCCAAATGCATACTGTATATTATCAGAGTTTGGTTTTTGTCTGCATTTTGACCACAAGTATTGTGGTTAATGCAGACGTGATTCTTCGTAAAAAGGTTTCTGTTTTGTTGCCAGCAAAAAGGGGAAAACCCTATTATTTTAAATGTGTCGTCAACCTGGAAAATTCGCCCGAGGATGCTGGATGTAGTCGTCAGCGAAGCCTCGTTACTCATTCTAGATTTGAAGCTTTCGTGACTGCAAGGATTCATATTCTTAGGTTGTTTCGGTAAAGTCACGTAGGTAAAACATCAAAATTAATAAAAATAAAATAAAACAAAAAAATCACGACGTTTCGGAGGCAACACGAGTCTCCGTCCTCAGGTGGGACCGTCGGATTAGCTGCATCAAGTGAGGCAATGATTCAAGATGTAATCCCTTAAAAGCAAGTTGAGGTGGAGGAGAGGGGGGGGGGAGCTCATCAGAAACTGCTGTGGGTTTACTCTGTACTACACTATAAACTATTATACACTACACTATACACTACATTAAACACTATACTGTCCACTTCACTATACACTACACTATTATACACTACACTAGTATACACTATTTCGATTTAAAGCTTTCGTGACTGCAGGGATTCATCTTCTTGGTTCTTTCGGTAAAGTCACGTAGAATGGAAATAATAAAATAATAAAAATTAAACAGGTCTGTCTTCTCGACAGACCTGTTCTCCACCTGAGGACGGCTGCTTGCGTTGTGGCCGAAACGTCGTGAGAATTATTTTATTATGTTTTATTTTTATTATTTTATTATTTCCATTCTACGTGACTTTACCGAAAGAACCAAGAAGATAGTATACACTATTCTACTATACACTACGCTATACACTACACTATACACTACACAATACATTACACTATACACTACACTACTATGCACTACACAGTAAATTACACTATACACTACACTACTATACACTACACTACTATACACTATACACTACACTACTATACACTACACTACTATACACTACACTATACACTACACTATACATTACACTATACACTACACTATTATACACTACACTATTATACACTATTCTACTATACACTACGCTATACACTACACTATGCACTACACAGTACATTACACTATACACTACACTACTATACACTACACTATACATTACACTATACACTACACTACTATACACTACACTACTATACACTATACACTACACTATACACTACACTAGGAACTAATTGACGCGTTTTGTTTACGTAGACAAACCTTACTGGCTGTGTCGGGTGGTGGAGAGTAAGGGGCCGTCCATAAATGACGTCACGCACCTAGGGGGGGTGGGGGGGGGTCAGACATTTGTGATGTGTGTCAAGAGGGGGGGGGGTTGAGAAATGTGACGTCAAATCAAAATGCGCAACTTTAAATAAATATAGACAACACGTTCTACTTAATTAAATAGGCTTTTTTATAAATGTTTTTTTCCTACAACAGCAGAGTGCAGCGCCACATTAAATACGCACTACAATGACAATACTTTAAAGCGATTTGAAGCATGTTTTATCTTTTTTGGGGGGTGGGGTAGAGCTTTGTGACGTCATATTTGAGGGGGGGGGTCTGACTTTTTGTGACGCCGTGTGACGATGGGGGGGTGGGTCAAATATCGTCCAAAATCGCGTGACGTCATTTATGGACGGCCCCTTAAGACACAACATTTATACTCACGCGACGTAAACCAAAAAACACATTGTCCTGCGGAGGGAGCTGGTAGGAACGTTGGGTTGCTCGGTCAATGGCCTGCAGGGTCAACGGCGGCGTGGTGTATTCCGCAAATATGCCCGACTGTGAGGGCGGGCACAAGCCGGCGTGAGTAGGTTAAACGTTGAGTTTTATAAGGGCACCACGGGGTGACCAGCCCCTCCCCACCCAGCCCCTCCCCACCCTCCCCACCCAGCCCCTCCCCACCCTCCCCACCCTCCCCACCCTCCCCACCCAGCCTTTCCCCACCCTCCCCACCCAGCCCCTCCCCACCCTCCCCACCTAGCCCCTCCCCTCCCCACCCTCCCCTCCCCACCCAGCCACTCCCTCCCCTCCCAGCCCCTCCCTGCACAACGGACGGAGAAAGACAATAATCCCCTGTGGGCCGGTGTAACCAGGAGGTTCCTACCAGTATATTGTGTTCTCTACCAGCCTCTTGGGGCTATACGTTGTTGGTACTTGTTTTGCTTGACATCTGTGGGTGGGGAGAAAATAAGAGCTGAGTAGCTTATCAGATTCCTTCTGCAGTGTCAATAGATATCCTGTTATACTGGTAGGAACCTCCTGGTTACACCAGCCCATAGGGGATTATTGTGTCCGTCGTGCAGGGAGGGGCTGGGGAGAGAGGGGCTGGGTGGGAAGGGGAGGGGGAGGGTGAGGAGGGGCTGGGTGGGGAAGGTGGGGCTGGGTGGGGGTGGGAGGGGTGGGGCTGGGTGGGGAGGGGCTGGTCACCCCGTGGTGCCCTTATAAAACTCAACGTTTAACCTACTCACGCCGGCTTGTGCCCGCCCTCACAGTCGGGCATATTTGCGGAATACACCACGCTGCCGTTGACCCTGGCCATTGACCGAGCAACCCAACGTTCCTACCAGCTCCCTCCGCAGGAATGTGTTGGAGTGACTCATGCTGCCAGCTATGGCTGCAACGTTTGGTCGTACATGTTATGTTCATATCGTTTATTGTTAAATTTGAATAACAGTTCCTATGATCACTGTTACATTGTTTTTATAGCTCTATTTTGGTGATTTCGAAAACGTTTTGGTTTAGCAATATGTGTTTCTTGTAGTACAGAGTCAGCCTGATAACTTTAATCTAAATTGTCTTATGGTTGTTTTGTTTGACTTGCA